CCTCTCCCCAGCCTTGCTGTGGCTGAGTGGGGTAACCTGGAGAATCCTCTCCCCAGCTTTGCCAAAGGCTGCTGCTCTTCATCCAGTCCTTCATCCCTGTCCTTCAAAACTACAGTTCTCCTTATTCTGGTTCTGAGCCATTCCCCTCTGTCTCCTCTCTCCTTTCCCAGGTCCCTTGTCCTGTATCCCTCCTTTCCTCTCCCCCTCAGCCCTCCTTCCTTCTCTCTTCATTGGGGCTGCTTTTCCCACTGACTCAGCAAGGTGCTTTATAAGGTGCTGAGGGGGCTCAGCCAAATCCAAACCACATTGTCTGCAAAGCCTTCCCACCAGGGGCGAGCTGTGGAGCTGTTCCCCTTCCCTTCCTTGATCCCTCCCTCAGAAGAGGTAGTAGATGCCAGGGCGACCTCCTGGTCCACTCTGGGTCAGTTACTGGTGGGCACCTGCCTTCCCAACTTTGGCATGAGCATCAAGAGATGATTAGGCTCACTGGCCAAGAATGTCATTGAAACTCCAGAGCCCTAGCTGATGGGGGTGGGGAGGAGGGGGAGAGGGAGGCCAGAGCACTTTTCATAAGGGCCCCTCCAAAGCACTTTTCATCAGAGCAGCTACTGATGCTCTAGAGTACCCTGCCCCCACCCCAGACCAGCTCGCCATTCTTAGCTTTCTCTTGTTCAGAAAAAAAAGGGGGGGAGATGAGGGAGAGAGAAAGGAAGGGAGAGAGGGAAAAAAAATAGAAAGAAACAACCCAACAACAAAGTCTGTCCCACTCCAGTGAGGTAATTGAAAACAAACTTCTTCCCCACCCCCCCACCCCCCCACCTCAGTTCTCCAGTGGAGAAAAGGGAAGTGCTGCCCTGGGAAACTATCACTGGCCACGACTGATGCCTACCCTGACCCACAGGCTGGAGGGGCTGTGTTAGACTGGCAGAGTGCCCTCCTTCCCCAGGGACACCAGCAGAAGTGGGGGTGAATGTCACATGCCACTCCTGAGACAGGCATCACCTTCCAGGTCTGGCTGCCACCCGTATCTACCCCTGTTGCGACTACAGATAAACAATACAGCAACTTGTCATCAAGTGACTTAATTGGCGGTATGCTTCTACAAGCACCCAAGACTTGGGAACCAAAGGACAGTACCCCAAGAAAAATCACAAAGTGGGGCTGTCTCCAAGGCCCAGATGACAGCTGTTTCCTCTGCACTGCTCTCTTGCTCACTCACTCTCCCTGGCAGCCCTTTGGAGAGGGAGGAAGGGGGAGGAAGGGAGACCCTCCTGGGAGGGTCTGGGCTTATGGGTCCCCTAGGTCTCCCACTCAGTAAGTCCCAACCCAGGCCTGAGGCGAAGGAGGGAGAAGAGTGCTCAGTGCCAAACCACCCCTACCTCACCACCGGAAAAACCAACAACCCCAAACCCCAAAGGGAAGAGGATGCCAAATGTCTCGATGGGGAAGCATTTCACAAACGGGATGCTGGGTCTGGTCTGCTCATGGCCTTGAATCTGCGCGTTCCCGCTGAGTCACCCGTGAAGCCTCTGGTGTTGAAACTGGTCCGGTGCCTTGTGCTGATTAATGAATTACAAATCCCCCACCCATGTGCACTCTCCCTGGTCACTGGAAGAATGAAAACCCTTGTGAACTTGAGGGAGAAGCAGGGCCTTCGTGCCCTCTTCCCTCCTCAGGGGGCATTATGAGCTGGTTAGTCACCTGCCCCAGCCGCTGGCGGCTCACTTAGCTCTAGCTTTTGGAAATGGGACAAGCACAAGCGGCGGGACAATAGGCAAGGGGGGCGGTCAGCCCAGACAAAGGGCAGCAGGAAAAACACCATCACTTGCTTGGAGGCCAGCTTGCTGGCATTTGAGAGAATGTGTCATTGCATTTACTCAAGTGGGAGGGGGAGGGAAGGTTGGAAATGAAGAGGCAGAGGTAGGGTGGGCACAGGGACCCTAAACCCAGCAGGGAGCAGAGGGAAGGCCGGCATGCCCTGGCCGACACCAAGGATGAAGCCCACACCAAGGCCAGCTCCCTCTCCAAGCTCTCAAGGGTTTGCAGAGGGACGATGCCCTCCCTGCCCCCTCCCCCAGGAGGCCTAGGGTGGTACCGTCGCAGCCTTGCCTCACCTCACCCCCCCTCAGTGTTGTGGGAGGGAGAGGAGCCCCAGAAGCCCTCCCTTCCCTCCTCCCCCCTCTCCCCCCCACCCCGGGGAGGGCTGCTACAATTTGTGGTTACAGCTTTACACGTCAGAAAAAAAAAAGTTTGCAGAATGTCCCACACCGAAAAAAAAAATGCGAAACCGAGAGAAAAAAACCTGCGAGTGGGCCTGGCGGATGGGATTATTAAAGCTTCGCCGGAGCCGCGGCTCGCCCTCCCACTCCGCCAGCCTCTGGGAGAGGAGCCGCGCCCGGCCGGCCCGGCCCCCAGCCCCATGGACCTCCGAGCAGGTAGGAGCCAGGCGTCCGAGGCCTCGGCCTCCGCCCCCGCCCAGCGGCAGTGAGATCCGGTTCCCGTCCTCCTCCCCACCCCCGGAGCCCCACGCCGGGGCCCGGCTGGGGAGCAGAACTCGGGCTGGGGAGGTACGGCCGGGCGCCCTCGAGAGGGGCCGGGTGGGGACGCGGCATTCCTGGAGTCCGCTCGCTGGAGCCAGGAGGTGGCCGAGAGCGCGGCGGGGAGCCTGGACGACCCGCAGACCTGGACAGGCGGCCACCTG